GTTCTTCACTAAAAATATATATATCGTCTAAAGCTGTATCTAATTTTACTGATTATAAAACATATATTATTAATTCATTAGGAAGAACTACTACAACAACAATTTATGATAAATTTGAATCAAGTACTGTTTATAAAAATTATAATTCTAGAAATGATTTATGGTAATTTTTAAATAACTAAATGGTTGAATTAGAAAAAATAGTAGAATTAGCTTCATTATTATCGTTTATATTTCTGATAATATTTATTACAATATTAAAAATATTTTCATATTTGTTTAAAAAGAGATTATTTAAATTAAAAGAACAAAAAATATTAACAACAGATATAACACCAAGAATACATAGTGTTTAAAAATAATACTGTTCTAAAGTTAAAACACTAACTCTAACTGTAATATAAAATAATAATTAGAATCAATATTGATTATTTTATTATTTTTGTAATCAGTAAACCATATTTTTATTTTTCGTTTATTGTCTTTGATTTCAAATGATTTTTGATTATCACCGTTAGCAAAAATTATAAATCCATCTTGTGAAGGATAATCATTACTAGAATTCAAATCACTTCTTAAAATATTTCAGCAATCAATCTGACCATATGAATTATAGAATCTAGTAGCAATAGTATTAATATACTTATTATTAGTAGAAGAAACAAATTCAATTGGTAATTCAACTTCAAATTAATATGTATTTATTACTTTGCAATTATTATTATGTAAATTCATGTATAATTTTCTCATTTTATAGAACAAAAATAAACATATACATGAATAACAAATTGTAAATAAGCTTTGCGTAGATTATATTTGCTTCGACTTTATTAGTAATATTGAATTAGATGTAATCACGACGTGCAAAATAACATGAAATCGTTACAATTTTATCATTATCATCAAGTTTACATATTATGTTACCATGATCATATCTTATCATTGTTGCTGTAGTACTAAAATCATTTATTGTCTCTCTGAAAGTATTGTCTTTGCTATTATCCAAATATATTATTAACTTGTCTCCATATTTATAAGATAAAAATCCATTTTCAAATTGTTTATATAATATTTCATCATTCTTCTTAACCATTTGTTTAATATAATCATATTCAAGTTGATAGCATTTATACATATTGTTGTAATTAGGTATGTATTGCATATCAATAGGTCGATAACCAGTTTTATTATGTTTTGAAAAATTATAGTAAGTAACAATTTCTTGAATAAGTATATCTTGATTTTTGTTTACATATCTCGTCATTGTATTATCATAAGCAGTTCTAATTGTTCTGATAACTCGATCTACACCTCTGTTTTTATTAATATGTTTGGATGAAGATGAATATGTTCTTATATTCAATTTATTGAAATAATTTGACATATAAGTGCTGTTCAATGCAGATTCACCATCAAAACGTATGTTATCAAAAACAACTCCAACATTAAGTAAAGTATTAAAAGGCATTATTAAACTGTCATTGTTTTTATTATAAAGTGAAAATACATATAAATATTTTGTGTTAATATTAACAATGAACATGTAGATATTTTGTTTGGTACTGTTTCTGGAATCAAAGAAAGCTAAATCGACTTCATAACTATTAAAATATGGAGAGTAATAAGGTCTTGAATAAAGTTTCTTCATGGTTTTCGGATTGAAGTCTTGACTAATTATTTGTTTCTTATTGATATCTTTTTTCAATATAGATTCATATTTATCTAAACTCTTAAATGGATAATTAATTGTTAAATTATTAAAAAGTATGTTCTCCATAACTATTTTATTACGTTTTTGATTTAAAAGTTGTTCTCTATATCGCAATCTTCTTGTTTGATGTTCTTTAATTTGTTTTTGTTTAATATCAATTCCTTCTCTAAAACTCATTTTAATTTATTTTAAACTATAAAGTCGAGGTCTGGAAATTAAATATTTTTTTATTGTATATATTGTTCGTGGAACCTCACTTCGTTTCGGTTCTCCTTATTATGTTAGTTTATGTTCTAGTCTTGTTCAAAATTTATTTTTAAAACTATTTTCAAAACTATACTAAGTCACCTCTCTCGAATTTTTAGGTCAC